GGTGGGCTGCGGGGGCTGGCGCCTGCGGGAGGGCCGCGGGGTTCGGTGGCGGTGCGGGCTGGAGGGGGGAGCGCAGCACCCCGACCGCCTCCCTTTCCCCGCCCTTCTTTCCTGTTCTGTGGAGCTGGAGGGGGTCCGGAGGTCTTCTGCCACCTCTCTTAACCTTGCTGGGCCGGCGTGGTTTGAGGGGTTAATGTAGTCACTGGCGTCTCTGCGCTGGAGCTCGTGAACCTCTTGGTGGAAAGCCGTGGGGTGTCGTTACCCATCGTTGCTGACAGCAGTTGTGACCTGAAGTCCTGGCAAATGAGTGTAATTTCAGCTGTGCTTTCTGCAGCCATTCAGTGGTGTAGTCTGACCCAAAATACCTTTTCTGCACATGTGAGGAAGCGTTCTCCAAGTTCTTGGACTAGTCCGGGGCACTTGGTTTCTAGTGCCCTGTGCAGGGCAAGAGAGAGGCCTCCCTCTTGTTATCTTTTTTGCGCAAGATTCTGGGATTAGTGAGAACCTGTAGCTATTGGTATCTTCCAATTGCAACCGGTTTTATCTGGTGTGCTGGTCAGGCAAAGCAGCTATGCAGCCAGTGAGGTACTATGCAAGAGTTTCTTCCTGAAGCGCTCGCCTCAGTGGAACTGTGACTGAGGCTTCAACAATGAGGAAGAAAATTAGACTGAAAGGAGAATGGCGTTCACTATGGGAGACCTTTGCTGAACAGCTTTCCACCTGGGTGATTGTACCAGGCTGAATTGTTGCTTGAGGAAATGCAGTTAGTGGACCTCCCCTGGTGCTGCTTAGGTTACCTGAGTCATTTGGGTGAAGGAAGTAGTCAAGGAGAAAGGGGGCAATCTGTCCTCCCGGTGGATGTGTAGGGTGTTAAGTGGCTGAATGTTCCGGCCTGGGAGCAGATCTGGTGTCAAGATGAGACCTGCCTGTAAGTTGCCATCTGGCTGGCTTGCTGTGTTCAAGGAGAACAGAAGGAGCTCACAGTCCTGATGGTGGTTCAGTTGCAGTGAAAAGATGTAGGCAGTTGGCAAAGGTTTCCCATGGGTTTCTTTTTCCTGTTGTCACTATTTTATTTGGCTTGTGTGTAAATTCATATGACGGATTCCAGCCCTGATGGGAGAATGACTGTTTTGTATGGACGCTGGCCATTGATGTGGCTTTCGTCCTTGACAGCTGGTACTGGAGCCTGCTCAGTGCCTTGTGTGCTGACTCTTCACTCTTCTGTGGGTGTATTTTAAAGTTAGGTTCCTGTGGGCATTCCTATTGGTTGGTTTGAGTGTGCTTTAATTAATGTGAGAAAATAGTGTGCCTTTTCACTCAGAATTGTCGTCTTGTATATGGCATGAGACACACATGCTGTTGATGGTGGACATTTGCGCACATGGAGCGAGAGAACGTTCTATGCAGAGGTGAAGGGTTCTTTCACCTTGGTTGGATGAGGTAGTATCAACCTTCAGAAAGGTTTTAAACCCATCTCTCTTCTTAATTTTGGAACTTGTCAAGGGAGAAAAGAAAGGAAGTTAAATTTATCAGTGCACCAAAAAAAACCCAAGAGGCACAACAGATTTCCTAGGACCTCAGTAAATCAGTTCTGTATAGCATGCCCCCGACAGGCTTTGTAGCTATAGCCACATGAATGTGCTGTTGCTGTGTTATAGTTCCTTTTGTATGTGCGGCTACACTTGTGCTTTCTTCTGGAGCTTTGCATTGTGTTCCTCTGACTTCACAGCAGCACTACTACAAACAAAATGTATTCCCATTACTGGCCTTTCTTTCCTTGCTGACTTGAGAGGAGCAATGGCGCTAATATAGTTTATTTTATGATTCCCTGCTGTGTATCCCGATTATGCCAGTACTTGCCCTTGAGTCAAACCAAGGTGAAGTTTTCCATATTCCCATTTTCCCTGCAGATGGCAGGAGACCATTGCTTGCTCTGTCCTTGGTTCAAGATCACTAAGACCTGTCGGACAATTCAGCTTTTTTTTTTCAGCCTAGCTATGATGGCACCTTATATTGCTGATTTTCAGAATTAATTTCCCAGATTGTTAACTGACAGTTCTTAGCACAGACACTATTTTAATTTAGATCTGCATTCTAATGAGTGGCAACATATCTTGGATAGCAGCTACTCGCAACTAGGTTTTCTTTACCCCAGTGTATCCCAGCTGCAAGAGCATCCTTAAAGCTGCTGGCAGTGTGTATGCTAGAGGGAAGTTGATTGTATGATGGCCACATCATCTCTGGTGGCCATCTGACTTGGTGTCATGTTTACCATTTCACGTACAGATAATAAAATGAGACATTGCTGTGCTGATTGAGGGAGATAACTAACTCTCTGTGTCCAGTGAGCTCTGAAATTCTGCAATGCAGGTCGAGACTCAGGCTTCAATTGGTTTAAAAGCCCTTGTAGTGGAAATGATTGGTCTTTCTCTTTTTATGCTTTTGAGAGAGAGGCTGTGTTACTTAGGGTACGCTTTGCAGAAAGGAAAGAGTTACGGACTGAGGCAGAAAGAGCTTAGGTGGGGGACCCACAGTGCCAGTTTTGTGTTGATGGGGGTTTTTTTGGTGACATGAGGGGACTGGTTCTGTAAGATGCTGGAGGGAGATCTCATAGATTCTGAAACATTGGTAAGTTTCTGTGAAATTCCGCAGCTGTGTGGGGAGGAGGGAAATGCACCTTCTACAGCCAGGCCAAGCTGGAGCAGAGTTTCAGCCAGGCATTTGTAGCACATCTTGGATATGTACTGTGAAAGAACTGAAATAGCAAGGGAATTGCGAGGTCTGTGATTCTTAATACACAGAGGTATGAGTTTAGAAACCCGAAGCTTCATCTAAGAGGAGAACGAGAACTTATGCCCTGGGGACTGCAACACTGTTCGCCCAAGCAGAGGAAAGAAGAAAATAGCTGAGTGGGTGGGATTTTCCTTGAGATGTGGGGGAGGAAAAGGCAGGGAGAGTCTGGCTGCTTCTGCAGCGCGTTTGGAGCTCTGCACAGACTTACCTGTCGGTTTTCATGTGCATTAGAAAGCTTAGTGGAAATGTGCAAAGGCAGCCAGATCTGTATGATGACTGGGATGGAGGGAAATAAGAGACGTCTGAAGAGGAAGGTAGATGAAGGGGGAGTAAGGAGGAAGTGGCTGCTGAGGTGGTGGTATGGCAGGCAGGAGGAGCATATCGCTTACATCCCTAGAAGAGGTGACTGTCTTTACAGACAGCTGCTGTGGTGAGCCTGGGTCTGTTCATTTCCTTCTCACTACTTTATATAATCTGTGTTCTGAATGAGTAGATACTGACTGTGTAGGCTCCGTGGCTTTTCTTCTGGCGTATGTCCTGGTTTTTGTGGGCTGCATCAATCCTTGTTGTTAGATTTTTATTTTTTTTTTATCTCAAACCCGACAGTAAAGTATAATTTAGTGGGTAATGCTGCTGAAACTGAAAATCCTTGTGAGGATACCAGTTTCCTGAATACCTAAAACAACAGCAGCAGCAAAAAAAATATCTAGTTTGCTTTGGGGTCCAAGAACTTTAAAAGATTTATTTTATTTTTTTTTTAGGCTTGATTGTAAATAGCCCTCTAGATCTGGGCAAAATCTGTTTGAGAATAGTACATGGCATTTTGTGGGGTGTGAAGGCTTGAAGTGGTACCTGATCTTAGCAGTCCTCATGAATAGCACACAGGTTCTTAGCTTTTCAACAGAACCTATGGGGGCAGAATGTGTTTTGTTCCATCTTGAACCTGCTAGTTTCAGAGGGTTGTATAATGAAATGAGATTGTGATAGGTGGAGGTTGAGGCTATGGTGAAGCCTACCACCTCATCAACAGCAACAGCTTTACAGCACCTCCCCTGTAGATTTGATGTCTAGTGATACTATTGCATCTTACACCTCTCACATGTTTATACTTGCTAGATTTGTCCACAACAATGGAGAGATCTAACTTTTCTCTGTCCATTTTTTCCTTTTCCAGGGAAGCTAGCAAACGACAAGCTGCAGGGAACAGCGTTGCAGGACAACCCTTTTCCACAAAGAGGAAGAAATTGCTGTGCTCAGGTCCTCACATTTCAGCAATGCTTCTGTAATGCAAGTTCCAGGGGTTTCTCTTTCTGTGATAATCTTCTCTATGGACTCTTCTTGCTGACCTTTGCCCCGGTGTTGGGCACAAAGAGGAAGGATGCGTACCCCCCTTTTGGCTTTTAGAACATGGGCACTTGTGTAAAGGTATGTGATTGCTCTTTGGTTGGAGGGATGGCATATCTGTGGAGGCCAGCAAAGGGGATTTGCTGGGCTGGAAAGTCATGGCTATTGTTCAGGGGAAATACCTCATTTAAGCTTTCTGCATGCTGATGTCCATTGCTGCTGCTGTTTGAGATGACTGATGAATAACTCCCCTTTTGTGTTTGTTTAAAAAAAAAACAAAAAACAAACAAAAAGAAGAAAAAGCAGCTTGAATGCACAATGTAGCTTCTCACTAACTGAATGGTGACATGGCGAGCTATATTGTATGCATTAGTGTATGCCAAATTGTTTGTCTAATTGTCACACACGTTCCTTGCTGCTGCTCTTGTTCCATCTGTCAGCTATGTCTTATCAACCAAACAGCATGTTGTTGTTCTAGGTGTGGTCTTTTTACTACATGTTTGTTTAGCGGTCCCCTCAGTGAGAACTTGATTCTAGATTGGTGTCTCTAAAAATTGCTGTAATCTTAATAGTGTCCAAACCCAAGGTTTTAGCTGATGTGTTGATCAGCAAGAGTTTCAGTGGAGAGGTTCCACTTTGCAGAAGTGAGTAGAAAACCATGGATGGACTGTTTTCCAGTTGCATTCATACTTTCCATAGTAGCGTTATGGGGCAAAAAATGGATTCAGCTCTGCCCTAGAAGGATTTTGTTTGTTCTGAACAAATGGGGATGGTCTTGTCTGCAACTCTTTTGTTCCATAGCTTTTTCTTCTAAGGTTGTTGGTTGAGGGTCAGCTTCTGTCTGTTTTGGTGGTGGCTCAGTGATGTGCTTTCATGGCAGACTAGAAGTTAACTTTGTGACTTGCAGAAGCAAGTAGGTGTGAGAGTTTGATGAGTGGCTTTTGGCCGCTGCTGTCGAAGTTGGTGATCCTGCAAAAAGTAGCTCCTTCTTGCATTACCCAGAGCCCTCTCTCACTGGTTCCTGGGGATAATCTGTTGTCTTTCTTATAGATCCCTGCATCTGAATGGGAATCTGTGGTGGAGAGAGAACTGTTCTTTGTAGCATGCTGTGCTGTTTGCATATTTCACAGTCTTATGGAACAATGGGATTTAGGGATGTCCTTGGAGAGGAAGATAGATGATCGATAGGTATTTGAGGATTCGTAGATCAAATTTAGGCCAGTGTGTGTGAGGAAGAGTCATTGGACTGGACTTGGCCTATTTTGTGTTCTAGATGCAGCTGTGATCCTCGGCTGTGTGTCTCACCGAAGGGACCTGATGTTTTACATTATTGGTAAGTGAAGGAAAGGCTGCCACTGTGTTTGTTGACCTCTCCATAGGCTTTAGAAGGGTTTCCTGAAAGCCTCTGCTTTCATGTTAGTTCAGAGTCTACCTAACAAACATGAAGTTACTGTCACCCGGCACTGTGCCCTCCACCTGGCAGACTTGCCTCCCCACCATTCTTCTTGTTCCTAAAGTCCTTCCATTGACTTCATTCCTAAGCCATCCCCTTACTTTTTCTTTCAAGAACTAGTGCAGGGTTGTTGCTTCCGTGATGCTTCTTAATCCAGCCTTAACGTGATGTGCAGGGGTTGTGTGCTTATATGACTGTTTCCCTTGAAGGAATCTCTGTGGTTCTAATTTGCAACTCAAAGGGAATTCCGTGCTTCTGTTGGGATGTCTGCTAGCCATACCTGAGACTCTACCACCTTTACCTATTTCCTCTGTTTGCAGTCATTTGCAGAGTTTCAAGGGACTTGTTATTTTCTAACCTTACTTGTAGCATAACACAAACCATAAGTGTTCACACAATAGCTTCTGCCTTAAACACCTAATTTGCAGTTGAGTAGAATGTCATTAATAAAAGGCTTCTTGGGCTGATGCATAGGGGATTTTGACGTGTGACTCAGCCATGCTGCTGCAACCATCTTCTGTTCTCTCCTTCCTGCAGGTGGGATCACGGTATCTGTGGTAGCTTTCTTCTTCACCATTAAGTTCCTCTTTGAGCTTGCCGCACGTATAGTCAGCTTCCTTCAGCATGAGGACCGGGAACGTCGAGGGGAGCGAACTATTTATGACTACGTGCGAGGCAACTATCTGGATCCCCGGTCCTGCAAAATCTCCTGGGATTGGAAGGACCCCTATGAGGTGGGCCATAGCATGGCCTTCCGAGTGCATGTAAGGGAATATTTCTGTTTCCATGCAGTTTTGGGGGTGGGAACAGAGGTCTGAGTTAGGGATAGGCTCTTCAAATATTTTTTGTTGGGGCCAAACTGGATGTAACTTAGGAGTAGGAAAGCTATCTCTTTATGACTTCTGGCTCCTGTAACTGTGTTGCAGAACTCTGTAAGTACATATCTGAGGTTTGCACTCCTTAAAATCTTATCTCCCTCTCTTTAGAATCCTCTGAAGAGCCGGAGGAGACCAGGCTTGTCCTATCTACTGCTTCCTTTACTGGGAAGTGAGTGGGCTGAGTCTTGCCTTCAACAGACTTGGTGCTATCTTTTGATTGTGCAGCTGAAGTTGGGAGCGTGGGAGTGGGCATTTTACCAACCCAAGAGCTGTAAAGCTTCATGGCCACTCCCCGTTCCTCCAAAATTGGGTGTTATTCTGTCTGACCTGGAAAAGCCTGCCGAGGACTCTGATTTCCTTCCAATCCCAAAAGTCTAGGGGAGTGGGACAAGTATAGAAATTAGATGGGTGAGGGGCCTGAACACTGAGATTTTGGAGCTATGTGGAGAAAGTTTGAACAGGTTTTGGTGGGTTCATGTGACCACCTTTCTGTCCCACGTTCCCCACCCATATGGTTATCAAAATAGGAAGAAAGGTTCAGCTAGGTTGCCGTACTCTTTGCTCTCCGGAAGTCGAGGAAAACCCTTCTGCTTGAGGGTGAGGAGTTTGAACCCCAGGGCAGGCAGTGAAAAAGAGCGAAGGGGAAAAGGAACTTGTTCTGTTCCTGCTGTTTAAATTTATTCCCTTCACCTTACTGACTCTCACTCATGGTGGCTCCAGCAGTGTGCTCTTCCACTTACTTTATGCTTGTCTACCATTTGCTTAGCCTCTTATTCATCAACAATAGCAGTTGCATGCACTGGTTTCACGGACAGTCAAGATACATACTAGCTTAGCCTCTTATTCATCAACAATAGCTGTTGCATGCACTGACAGTCAAGATACATACTGCTTCAGGCCCCACACCCTTCCTTATTTAGGGACAGGAAAAAGTAGTAACGTTTTGCTGACTGCAGGCTGATTGCAGATGGCAGGCAGGATCTGGCTGACAAGCTGCTGGCTCTTGAAGCGCCGTGCACATACGGTTTCAAGGTATAATTCTTTCCTTGTAAGGAAGTACTGTCGAGGTACGTTACCTTCTGAAATTGTCCGGCAGATCACTTCTGTGATTGAGCTGCCTGTGATTTTTATCTAACATGTTGTGCTCATGCTGGTGCATCTTATCACTACAGACTGGGTCAGCTCCTTAGGTCAGCATCTTCTCCACACTGTTTTCTATAACAAATTGGTGAGAACTTTTCCAGAGCTTAGCTGTACAAACAAACAAGATCTACTTGTTTCTCTGAAAGGATGTGGCTTTGCTTTTTTCCTTTTGGTAGTGGGTTCTCTTGGAGTCTGCTCTGATATTCCACTAACAGTGCAAAGAAGAAATGCCTAGAGGCCTGTTCTTTTCAGGACACTCATTTGAACCCCAGCACAAAAGAGAATAAGGCTGTTCAATGCCCACTTGTGCCCTGTTCACTTGGGAGAACACAGCCTGGGTGACAGAGCTGGGTGTTAATCTTTTTTCCTTTGCTGAGCTGGGGTTCTTGCCCTTGTTTCCCCAAGGCAACTTGCTTTCTCTTCTGTGCACTGTATATTTTTGCTGACCTGGACTTCTCCATTTCCCGTGCAGTTATTCTATAAAAATGGGCAACCCTTCCCTGCTCACCGGCCTGTGGGGCTGCGAGTTCACATCTGCCATGTGGAGCTAGCAATTGATATTCCTGTAACCCAGGAAGTTCTTCAGGAGCCTAATTCCAATGTGGTGAAAGTGGCCTTCACTGTGCGCAGGGCTGGGAGATACGAGATCACTGTAAAACTTGGTGGCTTGAATGTGGCCTACAGCCCCTACTACAAGGTGTTCCAACCAGGTAAGGTCTAAGTGGCCCTCTAATGACTCAAAGTAGATTTGGAGGTATTGGAGACAGTTAGGTAAATGTGTTTCCAGCTAAAATAGGTAGGTGACAGAGAAAGGGTTACCCTTCACCATTTTACTCTTGCCATGTGTAGATCCTGGCAATAGACCCATGACTAAAACATGCTTGTGACTACCAGTATGTGGCAAAATAGAAACTGCGTTACAGAATAGGTCGTTAGTGCTGTTTAAACTCCCTAACCACTTATGTCATGTTGTGCGTTTTGTAGTAACTTCTTCAAGATTAGAGTCAGAGAATGGCTTTTGTGAAAGTATTGATTTATTTGTATCTGAATTGGAAATGCTGTCATGATTTGACTCTTCCTCTTTTGAGTATCCTACTCTATTCCTTTAAGCTCCTGGAGCAGTTGATATCTTTGATTCTACACTTCTTTAAAAATGCTTCCTTTTTGTCCATTTTAAATTTGTTTCCTTCTACTTTTGTTTTTTCACCCCAATCGGCATCTTTTGTGTTTTGTGTGCATTGAAAGTACCTCTATTCCGTTGCATGGTGAATGGTGCAAGGCTTGCTAAGATACCCCTTCAGAAAGAGGAAGCTCAGATTTAACTCAGGTACCCTCCCTGCTATAGTTTGTTTGGCAAGCTGAATTTGCAGGTTTCCTCGGATGTCAGCCGACTTGTACTTTGTATGTGCAGTGGGAGCAAGCTGAAGGTTAGAATAGTGGAAAAAGCATTCTTTAGAGGGCTAGGTTTGCTTTATCAGTATTAAATTTCTGTCCCAAGGCAAACCCTGTGCACCATACCATGTATTTCAGTGTTCAGATACTCTGATTTTTGAATGTAAGGGCATAGAATGTGTTTAGAATTGATCCATTTTCAAGGTTATTGTGCCCCTAGTTGCTTTTCTTTAGCTCTTTGTAGCTTCACCTTGGAATTTGTTTGACTCTAAACTGTTGTTGTCTGCTTCAGGGATGGTGGTTCCCTCCAAAACCAAAATTGTCGGCCATTTCTCCACTCTGGTGCTGACCTGTGGGCAGCAGCACACTCTGCAGATAGTTCCCAGAGATGAGTATGACAATCCCACCAGCAATTCTGTGTCCCTGATAGATGAGCACAATTACAGCGTCTCCATCCATGAGGTGAGTGCAGCCTCATCCCTTGCTGCTTGACTTCAGGTGAGCTAGCGAACTGCCTCTTATTCAGTTGTTTTCTGTTTAGCTGGGTCCTCAAGAAGAAGAGAGCTCTGATGTTGTGTTTGAGAAGTCTGTGGTGTCCAATCGGCAGACTTGCGAAGTGTTCTTCCGACTCACCTTGCACTGTAGGGGGTGTTTCCACGCCTGCATCTCCTACCAGAACCAGCCCATAAGCAATGGTGATTTTGACATCATTGTTCTAAGTGGTGAGTCAAGAGCTACTCGATATTCTTCCTCCAGGCATCCTTACAAGATGTTTTGCGCACTTGTGTAGCAGAGCTAAATGTGACTTCCCTCCAGGCTAGCCATGCTTAATTGTTAAAGGAATGCCTATTCATTTAAAAATGCCAAGGTAAATGAATTTGCTGCTGACAAGGGAGATCTCTGAAGGCTGATACTCTCTGCTCCATAAGCAGATAAAAGGTTTACCTCTGAAATCAGGCAATTTTTATTGCTTGCTAGTACTTGGCATCTGAGCCATACTGTAAGCAAGCCAGTCACGTATTGTACGCTAAGCTATATGGATGAGAACACTGCATGTAACCTATGTGCTTTTTTACAATTTTATAATTCCTGGTTTCTTCACGAGTGAGCCAGCCTGCAATGTGGCTGGCATGTGGCTACGCCTTCAGGCTGGTGTTTTGAGACAGAGGTTCTAAACTGCTGTCTTGAAATCTTTTCATCCTGCTCCTGGGTTCTCTTTATCAGAGCTTAACTTGACCAGGTTTTCCTTTGGCTGTGTAGCCTTTTCTTTAAAATCATAGTAACTAATTTGGTGGTGGTTTGTGGATTCTTTACTTTTTAATTCTGGTCTCTGTTAAGATTTACAGAACTCTTTTTTGTATCTATTTCCCTCAGAGAATGAAAAGAACATTGTAGAACGCAATGTGTCCACCTCAGGTGTCAGTATTTACTTTGAAGCCTACCTTTATGATGCTCCTAGTTATACCAACAGTCAGTGGCAACTTCCACTAACGCACCTGAGCTCCTCTCAGCGCCGTCCTTCTACTGCAACTGAGGATGAAGATGAAGATTCTCCCTCTGACAGCCAAACCCCTGAGAAAGTGAAGAAACCCAAAAAAGTGTACTGCTATGTGTCACCTAAGGTAGATATAAAGTTATCACTCTTGAGTGCATGTTTAAAGTACACTGCAACTGAAGAACTTCCTTGTGCCCTATATCTTAGCTCCAGATTTAGGTGCCTTAGGTTTGGTTAAAAAAGGTTTGTCTAAGGCTAGAGAACAAATATGAGCTCATGACTGAGAATAACGTTAAAATGCTCCTTGAAGTTTTAGGACTGCATGTGTCTTTCTAGATCCGATCCAAAGCCTACTGGGACTTTTCTCTGTGATTGTTCAATAGATATTCTGTTTGCCTTTCCTTTCCTCTGGTCAGGTCAGACCTGTAATTCCCTTTCTCAGTTTCCGATACCTGTAGATCAGAACATACAAGAAGGCACTTCTCAGATTTTATGTCCTTGTCCTGTTTCTTGAATGTTTCAAGGAAAAGAAAAGGAAAAATTGGTCAGAGGACAAAGGGTAGATGTAAAAGTAGAAGAAACAGGATTCAAGCAATTCAAGAGAAACTGAGGATTCTCTTATAGTAAGAATAAATGTAAATAAATATATAAAGAATAAATATAGTAAGAAAGAAAATTCCACAAAATCTACTAATAAATTTAAATTTACTTTGACAATATCCACTTGAGTGTGTTAAGAGAGCTGGCTGACATTATTGCGAGGCCACTCTTCATAATCTTTGAGAAGTCATGGAGATTGGGGGATGTTCCAGAAGACCAGAAGGAGGCTAATGTCACCCCCATTTACAAGAAAGGCTTAAAGAAGGATCCAGGAAATTATACGCCCATCAGTCTTACTTCAGTCTCTGGGAAAGTTATGGAACAAATCCTCCTGGGGGCTATCACACGCCAAATGCAGCACGAGACTGGGAAAAGTCAGCACAGATTCACCAAGAGCAAATCGTGCTTGACAAACCTGATCGCCTTCTACAACAAAGTAACCTGCTCCACTGATGTGGGGTGAGTGGTGGACGTTCTCTACCTGGATTTCTCCAAGGCTTTCAATACAGTTTCCCACAGCCTCCTCCTAGAGAAACTGGTGTGTTGTGGTCTAGGCAAGTGGTCTGTGCAAGTGGTGGGGAACTGGCTAACAGGTTGCACCCAGAGGGTGGTGGTAAATAGCTCCTTTTCAAACTGGCAACCTGTCACAAGTGGCATCCCCCAGGGATTGATATTGGGCCCAACACTGTTTAATATCTTCATAAGTGATCTGGGTGATGGATCAAGTGTACCCTGATGAAGTTTGCCAATGATACCAAACTGAGTGGGGAAGTTGACCCTTTGGAAGGGAGAGCCACCCTGCAGGAAGACCTGGATGGGCTGGAAGAGTGGGCTAACAAGAACCTTGTGAAGTTCAACAAGGACAAATGTAAGGAAAACGTAATCCAGGAGTGCAGCACAGGCTGGGTCTACCAGGCTGAGGAGCGGCTCTGTGGAAAGGGACGTTGGTGGACAACAAGCTCTATATGAGTGAACAGCGTGCTGCTGCAGCAAAAAAAAAAAAAGCCAATGGGATGCTGGGTTGCATCAACGAGGACATCATCGGCAGAGATAAAGAAGTCGTCATCCCACAGTGCTTGTCAGGCCGCACCTGGAATACTGTATTCAGTTTTGGTTCCTGCTATACAAAAAAGATGTGGACAAGCTGGAGAGGATCCAGAGAAGGGCCACAAAGATGATCAGAGGACTGGGAAGCCTGCCATACGAGGAAATGCTGAGAGAACTGGGTTTGTTCAGCCTTGAGAAAAGAAGGCTCAGGGGAGACATTATCACCATGTTCCAGTATTTAAAAGGTGGCTACAAAGAAGATGAAGACTCCCCTTTTACAAGGAGTCACATGGAAAAGATGAGGGGCAATGGGTTCAAGTTACTCCTGTGGAGATTCCGATTGGACTCAAGAGAAAAATTTTTCACAATGAGAACAATAAGCCATTGGAATAACCTCCCCAGGGAAGTGCAGAGAAGTGGTGGATTCCCCAGCATTGGACGCTTTTAAGATTTGACTGGACAGGGGCCTGGAGCATCTTGTCTAGACTGTGCTTTTGCCAAGAAAGGTTCAACCAGGTGATCCTTGAGGTCCCTTCCACCTGGTATTCTATGATTCTATGGTTAATCTGTTGAACTGAATGTATTCTGAAAAATGCGGTGATAAATATCAAAGTGAAAGACTAATGCAGGAATTGCTTTTCTGACAAAGAGAGAAAGGGCTGTGAAACTGTTATGGGATGGAGGGTGTTGCTAGAGATTTCTAAATCTCAGCTGCATGTGGCTCCAAGAGCTGACTTTGGGAATGAGTGCTGGGTTCTCGTGAGCTCAGCATCCTTTAATCCTTGGAATATTGTTCTGGACTTTTGTACTCTTTTTCTGTTGCATTACCTTGTAAAAGATCACCAGAAGTGGGTGCTCGTTGCAGGTTCCCTTTAGGTGCCGAAGTTAGTGCAGTTCTGCTGCCTGCGTAATTGTATCCCTGGATATATCTATATATTCCTAGAGCATCTGTCCTGTACAGTAGATAACTGTTACTATGTTGTTATTTCTTTAAGGGGGTGCTGTTCATATTTGCTTTGTTTCTGGAGAAATGCTGCTTGTCACTTTTTCCAGTCATTGCAGCTAAAACAGGCTTGTGCAGGAAATGGTTTTGTGTTTTGTCTAAAGATGCTAAAATTTCATCTTAGCTTTCTCTCCAGAAGGTGACCGTTCCACAGTTAGTAGTTATTTCTTGTAGCAGAAATACACTGAGAGAAAATTTCTACAAATCTCCTGGATTTAGCAATTGCAAAAAGTTGTTTGAAATGGTTGCGAAAATCAGGGAGTGGTAGCAATAATTCTGTTAGGTAGTGTGACTTTTTCCAAACCCTTTTTGGCAATGCATTACAATCTTGTCCTGAATTCAGCCTCTCAAGTGTACTTAATTTGGCCTTCCAATTAGACTGGTGATGTTCTAGTGAACACAATGGCTTACTGCTGTAAAATCTGTGTCATGCTGGTACCCCGTATGTGTCGTAAATGCACGCAGTGAAGTCTCACTGACAAGCTGCTTACAGTTCTGTACAGCTTTGAACCTTTTTATGTATTGTGCCAGAGTAGGATGTCACCAAATGTTGCAGAAACCTGTCCCTGGGGTTGGAGGGAGGTCTGGCCTTATGGATCTGTCTTTTACCTCATGTTTCAGGGTCAACCCTTTACAGATGTGTGACCTTTAATGTTTTCTTTTCCTTGTGGTTACTCAGCAATTCTCAGTGAAAGAATTCTACCTGAAAATCATTCCATGGCGCCTTTTCACCTTTCGAGTATGCCCTGGGACAAAGGTGAGGCTCTTTCCATCTGTCTGTTGCTGCACCTCCATATTATTAGCTTGTGGTCCTTGTGAATGACATTCTGGTTTTTACTTTTGGAGAGAAGGGCTGCCACCCAAAGAGCAACATTTTGTTGCGTAAAATTCAGACTTTGGAATTCCCTCTTAGTGCCTAAATTCTGCTAATATTTATGGATAGGAGCCAATTGTATCGCTCCTTCCTGCCTTTTGTCCCAATCCTAGGCAAAAATCTTGATTTCTTTTGCATTTCTCTTGTTTTTTCATCATAACCTTGCTAAAATGCTGTGATTGTGTCCATTGAAGCCCCTAGGCTAGGGTGTGAGTTTTGATGCAGCCTCCTATCTGGAATCCGGATGCTTGAACTGAATGTTAACTGCATCTGCGTGGGTGAGCAGAGAAAGTCCTAGAGTGCAAGTGGTGTTGCTCTGTCTACTGAACATGCTGTGCCTTCTGCATGATGGGTTTACCCTTTCTTGCATCTTTTTGCTGCTAGTTTTCATACCTTGGTCCTGACCCTGTGCACAAATTACTGACACTGGTGGTGGATGATGGGATCCAACCCCCTGTGGAGCTCAGCTGCAAGGAGAGGAACATCTTGGCAGCCACTTTCATTCGCTCCCTGCATAAAAACATAGGTAAAAGTGTGGTGAGGTGGGTACAGTAGTCAGGAAGTTAGCACTTGAGTCTGCTAGTTTCCCTTGGGAATGAAAATTGTCAGCACTGAATGACCTGTGATGAGAACTGATTCCTGGAGTCTCATGTTCTGTTCCTGTTGGTGCTTCCAATTAATGTATTTCATCCTGCCAGCTGTTCCTTTTCAGTTTGGCTTTTCTGTCAGGCTCTTTCAAAGTGCACCTGTGAGTATCTGAATGTCAGCAAGACTAACTGCGAACTGCCTTTAGAGTTCTGTTTCCAAACTTTGCTGTAATAAACTCATTCTTGGGCTGTAAAGCTGACCTGTGCAGTTAGTCTTAGGAATGCCTTCTAGATATTCAAGGTGTTGACAGCTCAGGACTGACCCAAATTGTCACCATTCTCAGGAGGCTCGGAGACCTTCCAGGACAAAGTGAACTTCTTTCAGCGAGAGCTACGTCAGGTGCATATGAAAAGACCTCATTCGAAGGTCACGCTGAAGGTCAGCCGTCACTGTCTGCTGGAGTCGGTGAGTGTACATGTCATTTTGTGTAAGCCCAATGCTCCTCCATCCTTCTTCTGCTCAGTGCCTTAAGAAATCCAAACTGGCACGCTCTAGGGGCAACCACACTAAAAATGATTAGTCCTTCTGTTTCAAGGCAGATGCCAGTAGACAGCTTGAGACGGGGGGCTGAGGGAGATGATCTCAAGGTAGCTCTGCTGTGTTTGGGTTTGGTATTGTGTGAGATGCTGTGTTCCTTCTCTACAGCCATTAAGATCAGATCAATTTCTTAAGTAATTAGGAAACTTCAGCTCTGATAAATCTGTAAGGAACTCGTCGCAGAGTAAATCAAGCCCTGAGAGATGTCTAGGGTAAATGCATGCATAGCCTGTAAAAACAGGAAATCTGCTGGTGCTATTCTGTCCCCACTTTACATTGGAACCTGAGGCCCAGAGAGAGACTGTCTCACCTGGACCCGATTTTGGAAAATTGTACCATTTTTCTGGTACAGAGCCATTAAGTGAGGTAAGCTGTCGAGTCAGGTGTTACTGAGCTGCATGCATGAAACTCTTGCATCGACGGGCTTCTAGTAGTGTTTCAGTGTGATGATAAAATATTTTGTAGAGTCCTTGAGTTAAGTCTTCACTAATGCTGGCCTGAGCTGATGTGTTTCTGAAGTCGAACTTCAGAAAGAGTCATTCATACAATACAGTTGGTAACTGACATTCGAAATACTGTGTATGCAGGGCAGGCAGTTACCCTGATTTATTGTTTCCACATGTCTTATAACAGTAATGTTATAAAGATGGAAAAGAACATTTCTGGGGAAAGCAGGAGTGGCTGGGATTTCCTGTGATTTACACTCAGTAAATCTGTGTTTTGGAATATTTTCTGCACGTATGAGCTTGCAGTGTTTACGAGATTATGTTTCGGGTAATAGCTTGCTACAAAATCACTTCTAAACAGTATTTCCATGACTATTTTTTCCCGCTGTTTTGGAAATTCCTCCACTGTCATGAGCAGTGGTATTACAGCCTAGTAGGACAAAATAAGTTTAGTGCCATAATAATAATAATAATACACGTAAGCTTTAGTGTCCAAGGTTGACAGGCACAATGAATGTGACCAATGTGTTTCGTCCAGAGGTGTGACTAGCGTGTTGCTGTAACCTATTTGAAGATAAGCTAAGCCAAAGATACCCGTATGATTGAGGACTGCTGTGTAGCTTTTAAAATTTTCTTTAATTGGAATCCAGAACTGGGACACAGGAAGTTCTAGACTCTTGAAATATTTTGTTACTTTTCTGCATTGTGATTTGCGTTAAGTATGGACTCAGTGAAGCCTTTAGGCTATTTTCTAATGCTCTCTGAAACATTCCTTTTTTAAATCTAACTCGTGGGTTGACAGTGCTTTACAGAAATTGCTCCTTCCCACAAGCATTTTAATACTTTAAACAATACTGTACTGCAGTCTTGAGATGGATACATTTGTGCTGTGCTAAGACCTCACACTGGCTTTAAGATGAGCTGTATTTATGTGGATAATGTGTCTCATAATAGAAAGTGAGGAACTGGCTTCTATGGCTTTGGACAAATAAGAATTAGACCTTAGGAGTTCCTAATTCTCATTTTTATTCTTTAGAGTACTAGACTGTTTCTTGAGTTTTGTATTGCTTAAATTGCCCATCTACACGTGAAGGATTGCATAGTGGTTATGGGGTGCCAAGCAGTAACAGCTGCTGCTATTTTCTTTTTTTTCCTCTTTTTTTTTTTTTTCTTTGCAGTCTTTTAAAGCAACACGAAATTTTTCTGTTTCTGACTGGAGCAAAAACTTTGAAGTGATTTTTCAGGATGAAGAAGGTGAGTTATCCGGTGAACATATTTGAGGAGGTAGTGAAAGGAATGACGGTAGAGTAATTTTAGCCTGAAATTCTGGTTTCTTGTAGCATATCTATCTTTTGTGACTTTCCAGCCCTTGCACTTTCTCACAGATGTTAGTGAATTATCCTGCTGGTGCTATTCTCTCCCTACGTTATGTAGGGACCTGAAGCCCAAGGGAAAAATATTAAGACTAGGTTTGGGAGCAGAACCTAGAGTTCTGGAGTCAGTGTGTACTGCTTTTTTGCTATGGAGCTGTTCACTGCGATGAGCTCTTGCGTCAGGTAATACTGAGCAGCGTGCATGAAACTCTTGAATTGATGGGCTATGGATGACCAAGCTTGTTTTATCTTGTAGCTTTGGACTGGGGAGGTCCACGCAGAGAGTGGTTTGAGCTCATCTGTAAAGCATTATTTGATACCACCAATCAACTCTTCACCCGCTTTAGTGATAACAACCAGGCCTTGGTGAGTCTGCGGTTCCCATGCTGAATGCACAGAACTGCGTGCATTGACATGCTGCTAGTTAAATAATGTTGCTGCTAAATTAGTTAAGTGGTGTGCAACCTTACTTATTCTTTAGCTTGCTTGCACAGTCACTTCCAGTGCCTTTCTCAAAGCTTTGCTTAATGGTCTTAACCTATTGAAGTGTCAAAGAACTGGCTGAATGAACAGCAGAGGGTGCCCAGTCAGCAGGGAAGACTGGAATTCTGGGCAAGAGGAGGTGGCATCGGAGCGTCTGGAGGTTTTGTTGGGTCTGAATGTTTCAGAATCCATTTTTGCTGTCATAAAGCTTCTGGCCTGTGAAACGTTTTGTATTCTTCCTAGGCAGGCTCAGGCATTTTATTTCTGTTGCTTGGCTTTGAGGATATTACACTAAAGCTCCTGGGGCAGCCTGAGAGATGCAGTGACTTGAACTGGTCCCATACTTGCTATTTGTGCTAGTCTGGTCTGGTACTTGGATGTTTCATTTTGCTTCCTCTTCGCAGGTGCATCCAAATCCAGGGCGTCCCACATATTTACGACTCAAAGTGTATGAATTTGCAGGTCGCCTAGTAGGAAAGTGTCTTTATGAATCATCTCTGGGAGGTGCTTACAAACAACTGGTTCGAGCTCGCTTCACTCGATCCTTCCTGGCTCAGATCATAGGACTTCGTATGCATTATAAGGTAAAGCTTCCCAGCCTTGTCTGAAGCCTGTGTTGATCTCGGTGGAGGCTGAATGTTGGTGTAATAGAAGCAGATCTAGACTCCTGGTTAATTCCGTGTCCCTGCCGCCTTTTTCTTTCACACAGTATTTTGAAACAGATGACCCAGAATTCTATAAATCCAAAGTTTGTTTCATACTGAACAATGATGTGAGTGAGATGGATCTGGTCTTTGCTGAAGAGAAGTATAGCAAAACAGGACAACTGGAGAAGGTGAGGGAAGCAGTTCCTGAGGGTGGGATAGTTTAACCCCTTCTGCCTGCAGCAGGGGAGGGTGAGAACTCTATGTACCCCAGAAAATTGAGCTTACTCTGGGTAGTAGATCCTTGCTTGGGTTTATTCTGGTTGGGAGTTCAGGTTTGGGGAATGCTGCTGGTTATGCTCGTGTCAAGTGTTCTCCTCTTTTCAGGTGGTGGAACTGGTGACGGGAGGTGCTCAAGTACCAGTGACCAATGAAAACAAAATCTTGTATCTAAATCTGCTTGCGCAATACAGGCTGGCCAATCAGGTTAGGGAGGAGGTGGATCACTTCCTGAAAGGTAACAGTGCTGTCTGCTCCCCGCTCCTTTCTGCCTTTATCTCCCAGGGGATAGCACTTGCTGCTCTTCTCTCCTCTTCTCTTCCAGGCCTTAACGAGTTAGTTCCTGAGAACCTCCTGGCTATTTTTGATGAGAATGAGCTTGAGGTAATTGCTGCTGCCCTAAGCATCTCTATCCTTACTTCCCCTCCTCTCTGACAAATGAAGCGCTTTCTGATCTGGAATAAAGCCAGAATGTTTCTTCTCTAAGCATTTTAAACATTTGTGATTTGCACAGTAGCTGTTGCCTTGGTTCCTGGGCTCCTGACTTTCTGACTGCAGTTTTCTTGCCTTTCAGTTGCTTATGTGCGGTACTGGAGATATCAGCGTCTGTGACTTCAAGGCACATGCTGTAGTGGTAGGAGGATCTTGGCACTTCCGTGAGAAGGCAAGTGAAAGGATTTCTCCCTCCTGCTTGCTGAAAACAGTTATCCCAACTGCAGTAGAAGACAACTTAAACTGGGAACAGATTTCTTAGCTGGAAATTAGGCTTCCAGAAGGACAAACTGGAATATTCAGGGGTCAGGAGTAGGACTGCACACATTAGAAAATAATGTTCCCCCCTCAGAGATATCCTTCAGCCTGGCTGACTATAGAGATGATGCTTATCTGTTACCAGCAGAAAAAAACCAGCAGCAGTGGTGGTCTTAAGAAAATCCAACAAAGCACTAATTAAGAACAGTTCAGCGGGGAATCAGGAGGAATTGGTGGGAATTATTGCTACTGAAGATGTTCATGGTGATATACTTATCTCTAAGGGATGCCTGAAGATCATGATTGCAGCCCACGTGGAGTGTTTGGAATTCAGTGCGGTGGTAAAGACTACTGATGCAGTAGCCTAAATTTGTACCCTGTAATTGTTCCCATCAATCCCTGCCTTTCCCAGTGGGAGGGGTATGGGAATGGTAGCAACTTCATTTAGAAAAATAATGGAAGCTGCCAAAACACCCAAGATGAAAACAGATTGGGAGTACAAACTTCTAGCTGTAAACACTGGGATGGTTCCACTGTCCTGCAAAAGTACCAGAGGATGTGAAAAAGCAAAAGATTAGCATAGCGCAAGAAGCAAATGAGCTTCTGCACTGTAAACCTACCTCATTGCCTATGCAGGTATTTCTAAAAATAAAATCCCTGTAGGGAGAGCAGAAGCCTTTCTGCTTTAAGGGAAAGGACTGGTGGGAGGTAGTAGCGTGGGACATCTCTTAACTGATAAGAAGAAACTGTAATACTTGCCTCTATGTGTCACCCTGGTGAAACAAAAAAAAAATCTGACTATTATTAGAGCACTTGCTTGCAAGGGCAATTGACTGATCTTCTTGCAACTTGCTTATATGCTTATTTGATTTGCTTGGCTGACCTGGCTTTACCTTTCCTGTTTCTTAACAGGTCATGCGGTGGTTTTGGACCGTCGTCTCCAGTTTCACGCAGGAAGAGCTGGCCAGGCTCTTGCAGTTCACAACTGGTTCCTCCCAGCTGCCCCCAGGAGGGTTTGCTGCACTCTGTCCATCTTTCCAGATTATTGCGGCTCCAACTCACAGTACTTTGCCGACAGCCCACACTTGGCAAGTATCCTGGGGTGGTAGGACTTTCTGCATTGTGCTTTTGGGAATGGCACCAGCTGGTTGTGGTGCACTTAGCATGTAATGTGTGTGACACTCATGTCAACCCATCCAAAAGCAGCTGATGGGGATGGTCCCCTCTTAGATCTAGTCTGAATTGAATTTTTCTTTTGTTTTACAGTTTTAACCAGCTGTGCCTCCCTACGTATGACTCCTATGAAGAAGTGCACAAGATGCTGCAGCTAGCTATCAGCGAGGGTTGTGAGGGCTTTGGCATGCTGTGATTTCCCCTTTCCAGGAGACCACTTAGCCTCCTGGCTCTTCGTGGCAAGACCCAGGTTCAGTCCTCTGCTTGATCTCCTTCCCTTCACGTGGGCAATGGAGGCAGAGCAAAGATTCCATGTAAAGGAATTTGTCATCCAGAAGATGTCACGTGGCCTTTCCGTATCCCAAATGTGTCATCAAGAGCTCATCTTTTCCCTTTCCCTCATTCTCCCTTTGATTCAATGTGAAACAGCAAAAGGACTGTGGTGCATTTATCAAGGAGATACTGATTTCCCTGCACCATGTACACCCGTCCTTCTGTGAGAAGATGAAGTTCGTAAGCAGAAGTTACAGCGAGGTGCAGGAGGTGTGCTGAGCTGCCGTTATCGTAGCTCTCTGGGAGGAAGAGGGAAGACCAGCATGGAGCTCTGCTGGAAGCCTGGCTCACAGGAAGCCTTAGTAATTTTCCATGTCTTGGCTCAACTTCCCCAGTGATGCTCCCCGATAGCTCATCTAACTCTGGCTTATGAAGAGTATAGGGTTGTCCATCCTTTTAGCACCTCACCCAGAAGGGTTTCTGATTCTCCTCCATCTTGCTCTGGATACTGCTGTCTCCTGTGCCACAGAGAAAAATGGGCAGTATTCACTGGAGGGAGTAACCCAAAGGGGAGAACAATCTCATCGGAGCACAAGTGCTGGCCCTGACAGCGATCCTGTACTACCTCCAGCAGGGTCCAGCAGCAGAAGCGTCCTTCTCCAGCAGTGGCTGGTAATGAGCCTCTGCAAATGAACTGGAAGAGGAGTTTATCCTCCATTGAATGTTTCTGACAGTTGATGTTGCACAGGAAGCTGTTCCATGCCCTTGCCTTCTTTTCCCTTCCTGAGGAGAGAGAGCATGGGCATGAGCGTGATCCCTCAATGCTGAGCACCAATGCCTATCCCACATTCACCTTCAGGGTATGTATGTTATGTAGTAACAGTGACAGGTCAGTAAGCAGCTACAGTGTGCACTGGGCTTGCATTTGTTGTTGGGGTGATGGTACTGGGCAGAACGTGGTACCTCCACCCAGGCATCCCACAGGGTCTTGGCTTCTACCTCTATCATGCAGCAGCCTGAGGCTTCTCTTTCTCTACTGCATTTCAGGCAGAGTTTCCAGAGGGGTGCTGGTGCCTGGAGAGCAGCTGGCTTTCTGTCCTCCCAATCTTCCTACCTTCTTTCTTCAGCTCTGCTTTTCTCCTGTTCCATTCAGTGCTGCTGGCTTTCCAGCACAAAACGTTAACTAGAACTTGGTTCAAGTGATCACTCAACAGCCTGCACTCACCATTGTCTGGCTTGTGGGGAGAAGAGTGGGCAGACCAGCGTGAGAAGTAAGCTTATGATTGGGGTGTATTGTTGCTGGCAGTCCATTCAGCCCTTCCAGGGAAATAAAGGGAAGGGGAATCTGGGAATCTTGATGAGTTCTTCAGTGAAGCAAAATTCAAGATCTTTACGTTCTCAACAGTCCCTTAGACAGTTCAGGTCGGGAGTCAAAGGCATGCAGGAGTCAAAGTGTGAGAAACCTGCATTACTACTGTCTGCAATGTAAGCTTGCACTGGATTATGGAAATGCTGGATTTCTTCCAGAATGGAGTCTCAGACTGGCATCCCTGAGCTAATATTAGAATATCGTATTAGATAAAAAGTCGCATCATCCTCTTCAGCCCCCTTCTGCTGTCCTCAAGCTGATCCAGGCAGACTTCTGCAAAGTATGGGTATTTTAAGATAGCTGTGTGCTTTTCCAGTATAGCTTAGTTGAATTGACTGGGAATTTGGGGGAAACATTCTACACCTAGAAATTGTTTTTAAGGCAGCATCTTAGCCGTTCTTGGGCTGAGTGTGTTACTTCTGTACGGGAAAAAAAAAAAAAAAGCCATTTTGGTGCCAAAAAGCAGCCAGCTGAGCATTGAGACTACTCAGGGGGATTTCTTTGCCTTGTGAATTCATTCCCTCACTGGCACTGAGGTGCTGGGAGGCTGCCAGCTTGAGAGTTGCCGCTGTTGTGCTCTGACAGATGACTTTAGTAGTGGCTGTTCTCCCATTTTTAGTTCAGGCTCCATTCTGCAAGGTCCTGACCTCCTTTGGGTGGAGAGTATAGTAACGTTTTACTTACACTGCAGGTGGTTTCCACGGTCAGTAGAGTTACAGCTCCTATGTTCTCCATGCCACCACTTCTCTGCTTCCTCCAGGGACCAAGAGGAGGTGGTGGTGCTTGGCTTAACTCCTGTTTGTTGGGAGGCGTAGCTTGGTGCTGTTCCCACGTTGCAGCCTTGTCTTGCAGTTTCACCTGGTGAGGATGTTTCCAGCCTTGTAGCTATGGGGCAACTCTGCCAGTGACATCTTCCTCAGGAATCTTCTCCCTACTTCTCTTGAGCTGGACTTTTTTATTCTGAGGACGAAGTAGTTGGACGTTGGGCAGTCTTCCTCTGCTGGAAAGAGCTCCTAAATGCTTCTCATTGCATTGCAGCCAGCACTCCATGCTTCCCAGCAGCTGTGCAGATGCCAAGGACTTTTTTCTTAACACAAGTGCAGTCAGAACTGTGATGGGTGCTCTTAGTCAACTAAACCCATCCCCGTTGTTTCCGCAGGCTCCTGGCTGGTCCCATGTTTCAGAGATCCATCACAATGTTTCCAAACTTGTCTCTAGCTTTATACCCTTTCCCAAGGCAGTTACTTTTTATGCTGCCCTTAACACTGGCAATGGGGATGTGCTTTGGTCACCTATACTGTATGTTACTTCTGGCAGAGGTTCGTTACCTTTCTTTTTACCCTTTATTTATTCGCACTTACTAGAGGCCCTTCTGTAGAAATCTTTAGGATCCTGGTATCATCTCAGACAGGTTCCGTGTTTCCTGAAGCTGCTTTGAGGTGCAGAGGGCCTGGCTTCAGCCTGTACCTGCAGGCCATGTTGCATGTTTTTAGAAGCCAGGAGCTGTGGATGATACAAGTTAAATCCTAGTTCCCTCTGGTGAATTTCTGGCAGAGTTCAGCCAAAATTTGGAAGCCTGTGGTTGTAGTAGCTGATTTTGTAAATAGTTTGTATAATAAATAAAATATTTTAAAAATGCTGCCTTCTGAGCTCAGCGTTCTTTCGGGGCTGTACAGAGGGAATCAAACTGGTTAGTCCTGTCTGTGGGCAGGGGCATCTCCAGGTCTTTGGGTGTCTCCCTGAGGTCTGCTGCAGGGGGGAGAGGGCCCTTCTCCACTGCAGCCTTTCAGGATGCCTGACTGAACCCAGGACCTCTGAGCTTCTGGGAAGAGCCAGGATTCTGGGCTGGGGCTTGCAGGCTGCTGTGAGGTCTTTCTGCAGTAGGCTGGAAAATGCAGTGAAGCAGCTGGTAATGCCAGAAAGTATTTTAAGGACACTCTAATATAAATTAATAATGCAGTTCATGCAATTACTTTTTCATTTCGCTGTGTATTACCTGACTCTTTGAGATGCAGGTATTTGTACTCCTTGTGCTTCACTGTACTATCAAGAGGGTTAGATGAAGTCAGGAGAAGAGGGGGCGTTTGAGTCTTTTGCACCTTTCTAAGTTGTATAAAATGCTTTGAGATTGCAAGGGTGGGAATGATGTACCTGCAAGTGTCTGCCAACAAACAACAGAGTAATTAGTAAGTTGACAGATTCTCTGGGCTTGAGCTGTTCCCTGCTCTGACAAAAAGCATTCAACTTACCACTGGTTTTCTTTGGACTCTTTTGGTTTTGTAGCTTAAGGATTAAAGTAATAACTTTAAAACTTGAGAAGATTCTGCAACATGATTCTGTGTCTGTTAGCATTGCTGCCTGTAAAACGATGAAAACCCTGTTTCCTGGGCTGTAGAAAGATTTAGCCCATCTTCAGCCAACATAGTGTTGACTGGCTGTGTGTGTTGCACCATATAACTAGGCAGATGTTCTCGCATATTGTGAAACCAGAATCTAGCCTTGATTCTGGCTTTCAAACCATGAGCACTAGCTAAAGAAGAGTGAGCAGTGTATGTGAGTCTCCCAGATTGTCTCTGTAGCATTGTGCTGGCTCATGGTATTATTTAGAAGCTCCTCAAGGGAACAAAGTTGTCTTATGCTGGACTCAAGACAGAGGTTAGATAAAGCAGTGGTGAGTGTTATGAATAATGCAGAAACTGAAGTTCCAGTGTCCCCTGGGAATCGCAGAGGTGGTGAGTCTAGAGCTGCTGGAGTTGGGGTCAGGGCACTAAAAGGTGTGTGACTTTGTCTGCAAACCTGGCATGAGCAAAATGATACACAGCGAGCCATGTGGACATGTCTTTACATGCCATGACCAGTATTACTCATGGGAAGGTGGCCAAGTTGAGGCTGGAGTTTTCAGAAACCCTATCTTGTTTGGGTGTGAAGAAGAGAGCTCAGCTTGCTGGATTACTTTAGCATGAAGTAGGTTCTAAAGTTTCTGCCTCTCTTTGCAGGATGCGTGATATAATCTGGCTGCCCACATTGTCCTGATCACCAGTTTCTCGTGATGTCTTGGAGAGGGAGTGGTGACAGTGACCTGTTGCTGACTCCACAGTCCCCATTTATCCTGGCACCTGGCAGGGACTTGGGGCTGGGAGAGAAATCATGCCCATGCACTTCATGCTGGAATCTTACATGCCCCAGCTTGTGTCTCCAGCAATAGCAAGGAGTTGCCTGGTGTCTTAGGGTCCTTGATTCCATTCCACTTGACCTGAGATGTGTCAAGATGTGCTGCTTGGGAAACTGGATTTTTGTGTATTTAGTTGCTCTGTTCATCTTTCTGTTTGCCTCAGCTGTAGAACTATGGAGAAAGAATTTCATCAGATACCTGAATGAGAAAATGGGGAAATAATGCTTCATTTAGATAAGATTTCTTCTTGGTTTTGTAGTGTTATGGCTGAGTTGGTCAGTTGGACCAGGCCATAACTCCTGGTTCCCATAGTGAATTACTATGTTTTGTACGGTTTTGGCTGTCCTGCTACTATCTTGTGTCTGACTGACCTGACACGTGACAGCAGAAAGAGTTTGAACGTGTGATTATGGGAACTATAAAAGGAAAACACTTGCAGGAAACAGCAAACTCCACCAGAACCTCAGCCTGTCTTGGCTTCAGCCTTATGGTGAAGAATCTGAGATTTTAGAATCTTCCTCTTAAACTCTTTCCTTGTTTGTTTTTTTCATTGAGTGCGTGAGAAGCCGTAATCTCTGCTCTCCAGAGCATGAAACTTGATTGTAGGAGGGAGGTGTTACTGCATGAATGTGTTCATTTTTAGACATAATTTGCTATAACTTTTTTTGCAGTAAAATGAAACAGCTGTAGCTGAAGTTCACCCAAAATTCCCAATCAGTCTTTTCCAGCTACCCTTCTGCAGGGATGGCGTGCTACGAAGTATGTTGAGGCGTGGGCAATTGCACATGGGCTTGGAAGCGGGGAGTGAGACTGAGAGCCAAACCTCTCAGCCTTGGTATAAAGCTGCAATGAATACGGGTGAAGGAAGCTGAGC